GGCAAGCCTTTCCTTTGCAATAACATCATCAGAAGGCATGGCAAACAAGTATTCATGGAAGATTTGCAATCACATTTCTCTTGCACCCGTTTTAAGCCCCTAATCCAGGGGTGGGCAAAAGGTAGACCCAGGTGGTGGCCAGACTCCATTTCCCAGCAGGCCCTGCCCGTGTCACTGCAGCTAGGTTCCATGGAGACCCCAGCAGCAGCAGTGCAGTGACATCGCAGGGCCAGGGTTTCCATGGAGACCAGCCCCAGCAACACTGGCAGGGTATGTGACTGGCCGGGGAGGGGCTCCGCAGCCGGGGCTGGGATCTTGCCGTGGTGAGCTGGGGCAGAGCCGTGATCCACTGCCTGCATACTCCGGGCAGGTGCATGTGGGCAGCAGATCACAGCTCTGCCCCAGTTTCAGACCATGCTGTCACCACTGCAAGATCCCAGTCCCGGAGTGGCTCCCTGCCCAGCTGCGTGCCCTGCCAGTGCTGCTGGGTCTGGTCTCCATGGAAACCCTGGCCCTGCGCTGTCACGGTGCTGCTGCTCAGCACCGTACCTAGACTCCTGGGTGAATTTTTACTGTTGGGCCTTGTTTTGCCTGAGATAATGATAATAATAATAATAATAATAATAATAATTGGACAAGGAAAAAAAAATTACCATTCTCAGGCTCTCTTTTTGTCCAGGCCCTGGGCAGCCGCCCACTTGACCCATGTCTGTGTCCGGCCCTGCTGCCACTGCTGGGGTCTCCATGGAGCCTGGCCACAGCGATGCAGGCAGGGGTGCTGGGAAATGGAGTCTGCTGCGGGCCTCATCTGGCCCACAAGCCAGACTTCACCCATCCCGCCCTTAACCCATAGTAGGAAGTCTGTGGCAGAGTTAGGGACTGACCCCAGTTCTCTCAAACACAAGGCTAATTCCTCAATCACTAGACTAATCTGCATATAAACTTTTAAGTGATACCTTCTTCACATAGGAAACTATCTGCCAAATCATTTTGAGGACTGAACAGATCTTTAGAAGACTACAAAAAGTTTACAGGTAGTTTGTGAACAGAATAGAGACTAGAGACTAAAATTCATTTGCTAAAAATAGTGTTGAAGTTGAGCTTGTTGAATTATTTTACACTGAACTATTTAAAGCAGCTTTCAGATCATCGTGCCAAGGCCAGGTGAGGTGTGGGGCTCAGTTTGGGTTGGAACGTTTTCACTAGAACAGAGAAAGAGACAAGCTGTGAGCCAAAATGCCCCCCGTCATTGTCCTTGACCCAGTAACACTTGCTGTGTGCATGCACGCACACACACACACACACGTGCGCACACACTATTTCAGTGTTACTAAACTAAAATGGTCTTCAACAGCCCAGCCAGGAGAAGAGCAGTTTTCTTCCTTAGCTCATGTGCCAAACAGCATGATAAATCAAAAAGCAGTACTAACATTCAGATCTGGTACAGCTCTGTATTTTAATCCATATTCACCTTCTACAGCAAAAGGATCTGGGGCTGGTGGGCCAGTAAAAGTGTTGAGAGAGACTTGGTTTCAAATGCAGGAACCTGAGTCAGTCAAGATTGTCTTGAATTCTCAGGAGTTCAGACTGAACAAACAAATCTAGTTCACAGTTCAGCAAAACACTTAATGTGCTTAATTTTATGCACATACTTAAATCCCTTTCAAACTGAAGTGCTCTGTTGATCAGGACCTTTTTCAGGTCCCTCATCATGTTAGCTCCACTCACAAGCTAGCTCCTCCACTTTAGTTTTGACACAAGAATTATCCCATTGAAGCCAGAGGTATTACTTGTGGATGTATATTTAAGCATGTGGCTCAGTGTTTACAAGGCGGGGGTCCCAAGTCCTACTAAGGGGATAGCAAAAGAATGCTCTTCCAACTTGAAAGGCTTCAGTGAAAATTTCTCTGCCTGACTCCCAAGTAAATCCCACCCAAGCTGATGAATGCAACCAGAATACTGTGAAGTTGTATTTCAGCAAATAAATTCAGAGCTGCATGGGGGTATCCTTTGCACTAAGTCTCATTAGGCAAATACACTGTCTTCAGGCCATGCCATGGCAATACCAGGGTGCCCTGGAGTTGGCTTGTTTTGCTTCTGTGCTACTTATTAAAGAAGTCATTCTTACCCTTTTACTCTGGGGGTTGCAGTTGAGCACACATTGGCTGTCCAGCTCAAAACCATTGGTACAGTCGTACATCCCCTCAAAAACAGGAGGGGGTGGTTCACACAGCACAGGAACGCAGGTGCCTTCCTCCCAGACTCCACTTTCCAGGCACTGAATCTTCAGGAACTTCCTGGGAAACATGCACACAAGATAGTTACTGAACTGTGCACGTGAGAAGACATCCCTGAGCAACCAAGTGGAAGGCCTCAGTTATTAAGGGCAATTACTTCTGTGGCTTCAGGTTAAGACTTCCCTAAAGGAAGATCAAATTGAGATCTTGGATGGAAACTGAATTCAGACCCACAACACATGCTGATTATCAGGCAGCACAAGGCCAAAAAGGAGCAGGAGAAGGAAATGGAGCGGGGAGGAGTGACAACAGTAACACCCTCTAGAAATACAAATGTGGGGCAATTTTAGGCAGCCCTTTTCATAAGCATGCAAATGATCATTAAAAATGCATAGCACAGCCTTCAGAGCATCTTTCCCTGAGGACAGAATCAAAGAATAAAGACATCAAAAGCCTCATTTCAGCAATGCCTTTATATCCCATGGACCTGAATGAGGCATGAGCATATGCTTAAAGTTAAGCTTAATGAATTCTCTGAATCTGTATCTTATATATTTAAACCACACCTGAACAACTCAATTAAGCATGTATTGAAATCTGTTCCCATTCAGCCACATTTAACCACCTGCTTAGTGTTCAGAATCTGCTCAGGTCTCATTCATTTCTCATGTCAGCCTTTGGCTGACTCAGGGCCCCAAACTTGTAGCTCCTGCACCTTTACTCTTTCTAGCTCTAGTCCCTTTTGCACATTTCATAGTGCTTTGTCCAGTTTAGGCTTACCTGTCCCAAGTAGTGATGCTTTCTCTCTGGGGAGATAATGCCTGTTTAATCTATCTCACTAACCTTCCACAGCTGACATTTTCCTTCCCTTAACTTCATCCCCTTCATGGGAATATGGGACTAGAAGGAGCCTCATCAATTGTTGATTCCAGCTCCATGATTAGTCCTTGTCATGCCACCCTAAACAATTCCTCCCCCTATCCACTCTTCAAACTCTTCACTCCATTCAAAGCTGTCAATCCCTTTCTGGTAGAGGAACTGTCATGCCAGAACAGATTAACATTGTCTTGTGTGCTGCTAAGACAAGAAAACCTTGCAAAGAAGTAATGAAAGAGTTAAAAAAATACAAAAGAGAGGCTCACTTATTCCAGAATCTGATCCCTGGCAATGATCTATATGTCATAGCCATCACACATGGGGAACAAATGAGAGGTACTTTTTGAGTTTGGAGACACTTCTTGGAGACTCCAGCTTCTGATCAACACCTACGTCTTCATGAATGAAGATCCATAGCTCTTGTGATTTTAACCTATCTAGTACGATTCTCCAGGAACCATCTTTCTTTAATTCACTTCTCCTATCTCTACTATCAATAGGCAGAAACCTAGGAAGCCACTGCTAAACAAACCTAGGAAGCCACTGCTAAACATTTATTGGGCAGATACACCCAAATCCTGCCCACCTCTAAATATGTTCAGAATCTGGTAAGCAAAGGAACAACTCTGCCTTCATTGTTGAAATAAGGCTAGGAGGCAAAGGGTTGGATTAACTTCTCATAACCCTGCTCCGGTAAAGGAAATTGCCCCAACAGCAGAGCAAGAGCCGGTCTACACTACAAAGCTGTACAAGCCAACAGTGTGCCGGCATACTACTACTGACATGGCTATTTTGGAGGCACATTCAAGTTGCCTTGCCCTGGGCAGCACACTAAATCTTTATGGCATTAGGCTATATCAGTAAGAGAAGTTTTCCACTGACCAATGATGGTTTGACACTGGCAAAAAATTAAGGAAAGACGAGGGCAGTCTGGCACCCTCTGCATGCTTCATGCAAAATGTTTCATGTGGAGTCAATTAACCACTACAACTCAGCCCTATGCTTTTATCATAGGACTTCCAGGAGGCCCCAGTGGTTGGTGTGTGGGTGGAGCGGGAACAAAAGTGGATTGTGGTGTAAATTAATGCTATATGATTACAGCCTTAAACACGTTACATTTCTAGCACTATATATGCAAGGGTGCCTATGTTCATGTGTCTGTGGAGCCACCAAAATGGAGGACTCACCACTAAAATGCTCCTGTTTCAAACAGGAACTTCTCTGTAGCATTACACTTGGTAGCACCACATGTAACATCTGAACGCTTACACGTAGCACGACAGAATCTCTGGTCCCCCGGCCTCCCATAGTGCTCCAAGGGCAGCGGCATAACAAGCTGAGCAGGCACCCAAGGCAAACTTTGCAGGAGAGCGGGGGTGGGCACAGGGGTCTGAGCAGGGGACACAGGTTCCAAAAGTGGGAAGGGCACAGGTCTGAGAGCAAGGATGGGGGCACCAGCCTTACCCAGCTGGGAACTTCTAACTAGTCCACGTGTGCTCTGCCTGATTCAGCTCTGTTGCTCTTAAACTAACGCAACAGCAACCAGGGTCTGTTTTGGAGTTCCCTGCATAGGAATGCTGCTGGGGCATGGTCTCTGCAGGAGTGGGGGCAATTCCAGTGCCAACTTGGTGCTCAGGGCAGGTGCCTCTCACCTGCCCCTCCTTATATTATTGTCCAAAGGAGAGGGACAGAGAGCATCTGGCTCCTGACAGCCCACCAGGAAGCACAGCTGCCGCCCAGCTAGGACATGGATCTGCAGCTCTCTTTTCCACAGCAAAACATGCTGCTGCTCCCATTGCAGCAGAGACAGAAAGGGCTGCTTGTGCCACAGGGTCAGCAAGGACAGCTGCTACCCCTCTGGCAGAGGCAACAGAGAAGGCTACTGTTGCTGCCGGGGCCCCAGGACAAGTGGCATCCCAGCAGCAGCTGGATAGAAGCCTGCCACTTGCCGATGGGACACTGGAGGGCAGCAGCGGCTCTCTCATTAGCCTCCGGGGAGAGTGGGGAGGCATCAGGCAGCTGGTGCTGTCCAGGAGAGGCTCACAGCCTTCCCAGTTCCCTTTCCCATCAGGGGAGAGAGCAGGCTGTCAGTGATTGGGATCACTGATAAGATCTCTTACAGGTAGGGGGAAGCAAAGGAACAGCCTCCTATTGCCCCCTGGTTGGAGAGCATGTCTTTGCAGGGATATTGTAGCACTCCAGCCAGGGTGCTACCTATGTGTGTATACCCGCACTGGTATTCTAATTATTTTAGTACTTATAGGGCTACAAATGGACATGTCTCAGACCAAAGCTAAGAAGGGATCACTTTATTTAAGGGAAACTGTCAGCATGATTCTCTTAAATTCAAGATTAAAACTGAAACCATTGCCTTTCTGTGATTTACACTCCTTTGTTTTCTTTTTTGCATTTCACTCAGCTGGGACAGTTTCTAGTTGGTTACACTTTCTATATTCCATTATATTTGAGAAGTTCATGGAGTTTCACATTCAACGATGCGTTGTGCAAGACACTGTACAAACACATGGAGGGATCTCTCCTGCCCTGGAGAACTTACAATCCAAATAGATAAGGCAAAGGCAGGGAGGTAGAGCAAGGCAGAAGTGACCTGCACAAGGTCACCCAGAAGGTCAGTGGCACCATCACGGTTTAAAACAGACCAGTGTTTTATTCAGAAGACCACCCTGCTGACCAGCTTATGTAGCATACTACAAGTATCTGAGCTGCAAACAATACAAGGGAAGTAAATATATCAGCAGCAGGCCTGAATCAACAGAATGGATCTGAAACCACACAAACTTTGGGGAAACCTAGATTTGGATGTGAACTTTTGTGGCTTAAATGCATCACTGATTTAATTGTTTTTGTTCTAGACTGAAGTTGTATTCATTACCCTGCTGAGACATCCTACTTAACATTAGCTTTTGCTTGGTTTGCTTTGATTCTCTATTTGCACAAAACTGAAATCTTGGGGGTCAACTGCCTGGCAACAACCTTCAGAAGTTCAGAGTTTTAAAGCTGGAACAATGTGGTAAAGGGTGACAATCTAGTTTGCACTGAAAAACTTTTCTCAACTACAGCTCTTTGCTCCAGTTCGGCTGCTTCACTGTGGTTGCACTCAAAGCATGGTGGAATTTACCAGTGTAAATCACAGCAAGGCAAGTCCCTCTCTTACGCCAGTCCAGCACACTTACACTGGGACTTTGCCCTGGTGTCACTACACAGATGTAGTTGCACTGGTATGAAAAATCCCAGTCATGAAGCAATATGCTTTAAACAACAAACATCCTATTAAGATGTTGACAGTCATATACATACTCTTACCAAAAAGTCCCTTGGGAATAAATGATCTAGCCACTGTATGTCACTGTTGCTCTTCAGAAATGAATGGGAGGCACTTATCTGAAAGCAATGCAACTCCCAGAGAAGAGAGCTGTAGCAGGGAAGGGGCCCGGAGCTTCTGGCCTATCTAAGGAATGCTCAGTTTGCACAGGTGCACAGTGTGGTTTGCAAGATCCTTAGCTTTCACACGGCTTTTTACTTTGATGTGGTGCTGGAATTAACACATCTAGGCCTCCGGCTCCCTGCCATCCTGCCCAAGCCACGCAAGGGAAAATCTCACTTTGTCAGAAGTAACTAGGGAAGGGAGTGCAGCTTGCTGCCCATACTGCAAATGCTGCAGCTGTCTCTTTTTTGGGCCTGCCTTGTATTCTGCTCTGGCTTACTGAACCAGTCTTATCACAGAGCAAGCTGACCTCCCTCAGTGGAATATTCCAGGAGTCTGAGAGCATTTGGCACTGGAGGTGCTCCATTGCCAGCCCCTCCTTCCTTGCCCCACCACACACACTGCACATCCTCTGGACCCTCAACAGTAACTCATGTCTCCAGGTGCCCACCCACAGCCAATTCCCCACTCCTGGCTACTTGTCCTTACCTGACCCCAAGGTAGAGGGTGGCAGCTGTGCTGCTGACACAAGCATGCTAAGGAGCCAGTTTACAGAGAGGCACTGGGAGGCGAATGTCGAGGTGAGGGGAGCTGGCCCTTTTAAAAACCTGTAGTTGCTCTGAACAGTGGAATACAGACACACTGATTTCTTCTGATGAGGGAGAGCAACATTTATTTAGGATTAGCACGGGAGCCAGAAGCCATAGTAAAATATAGTTAAAAAAAGAAAAGAAAAGGG